TTCTAAAAAAGAAAAACAATGCCTAATCTAAACAAATATGTAAGTCAGCCAGTGAATGAGTGTATAAGCAGTTGATATGTATGTAGATGCTCAGTAAATAATACGCATGACGAGTACTTAAATATATATAAAGAGAGATTAAGGTCTATGTCATGTTCAACAATGCCTCCAACGGAGAACGGCTCGAGCAACAGATGCGCAACGTACTGAATAAATTTATGCATTTAGTATATTTGTTTAGGTATTTAAATATTTATAATTATTTAACTTGGCTGTTGACGAGAGATCTTGAGAGCAAATAAAGCTACTGACACACAGATAACTGCATTATGAGCGCATACAGTTATAGTTGTATAAATAAATGTACATTTGGAGGAGGCAAAAAAGGTCAAAATGAGAGTTCAAAGATTGTGACTTACCTTAGGACATTATAGTTTGGCTTCTGGCAACGCGGAATTTGTCAAATTCGTGTCAAAGTCTGGAAATGAGAAGAAGAGAGTTTTAATTAATATATGTAATATTAGAATATCATGAATATTGTGTGGTACAGAAAAATCTCCTTCTTTTCGTTTTTATAGTAAAAGGAGCAATTTGAACATCCTTACAGAGCGGCTATGATATCATATGTAAACTTAAACTCGTCATTTACATATTTTCATATGTTTATATACATACATGTGGGGCTCTTAAAAAATATACTCTTTTTCCAATAAATAGCTTTAGTAATCTGTCTGGTTGTATAAGCGTGATCGGGTCGACGTTGGAAAGATAAGATTTCATACTAAAAAAAAACTTGTCAGACAGTTTTGTTATTGATTGACTCAGTATTTTTTGAGGGCCCGTAGAGAAAATAGGCCATATTTCTTTACAATTTTCTTCGATAATGGCGAAATCCAAGCCAAGCGGCTGCAAATGTGTACATATAATGTATATCGTCCTAATAACGGGTTTTCCAATAAAAGTGAATAAATTTTTTTTTTTTTATAACACACTAATTGTTAAGGAAATTTAAATGTTTTTAATTAATGTAAAGTACAATCGATGCAATTAAGTTGTTGCACGTGCTGTGTGGCATGTACGTCTTGTTGGAAACAGATGTGGTCAAGATCAACTTCTTCCAATTGCGGCCATAAAAAGTTGGTTATCATCGATCTATACCGCTCTCCATTGACAGTAACGAGCTACCAGCTTCATTTCGAAAGAAGTACGGAAAAAGAGTAATGGTTGCTCATGAATAATTTGTGAATTTTCCAGAATCGGCAGTTTTATTTCTGTTATGCACCATTCAGATGAAGGTGAGCATCATCGGGGATGATGATTTTCTTAAAAGAATCGCAATTGGAGAGCGATTATTTTGATAATAAGATTGATTAATTTGTAAACGTTGTTCTTGCGTATAACTTTCCATGATGAATTTGTAAACATTACTGAATACAATGAATAAAAATTACAGATCATATCATATACTATATACTATAGTAGTCAATCATCCGCATTTTTGGTTACATCGATTCCGTTCCGGTAATTGAGATGTCATAAATACAGCATACTTTGAAAGCCCAATTGTCGAAAATATCGATGAAATAATGGAAATTAGTATTCGTAAATAAATATTGCTCCCAAATTCGTTTAGAACCATTTAAATAAAGCTGGAACCTCGATGTATGGGATCCACATGAGTTTACGCATAAAACTTCATGGACCAATTTTCCACCTAATTTCCATCGCTGCGGAATCGCAACCACTCGATCCATTATTGATACGGATGGTCAGGTATGATTAAAATGCATCACTTACGACAACGTCAAATGAAAACGGTCTTGGTTGAGTCACGAATAGCCGGCGCAAACGGTGGCCAAGCCAGGACTGATGATTTTGCTATGTGTTTGGTGTGATTGGCAGGTAATAATATAGTACGAGCTGCTCGCCTACGCCCAAACTCTTAATTTGCATTAATCATGTCAACAATTGGAGCATCTGAAGGAAGCAGTCCCCCACAGCAAAGGAACTGTGTTCCATCATGACAACGCCAGGCCACACATATCGATAGTGATTCGGCAGAAGCTCCGGAGCTTGGTTGGAAGGTACTTATGCATTCACCTTATATTCCGGACCCGGCACCAAGTGATGACTACTTGCTTCTACCTATGGCGAATGATTTTGCTGGTGATAAATTCGCCTTAAAAGAAGCTTGTGAAAATTTAATGTTCCAATTTTTCCCCAATAGGGACGAGGGTTTCTAAGATAGTGACATTATGTAATCACCGTCAATAGGAATAAAATATCGAACAAAACGGGGCATATCTGAACATTTGTACTATGCTAAATAAAAACCTTTATTTGAATACAAAAATAATATATACATATATAGACCCTTGCAATAGGGTTTTTAGTTTTTGTTACCAAATATGCCAAATAATATAACTTTCATCCCCGACTCGATGTTCACGCAAAAAAATATCCGTTGTATCAATTAAGACGTACTTTCACAGTATTTTTAGATATATAATATGTATATAATATTCTATATATACAAATGGATACATATATACATATATACATGTATGTAGAAAGCACAATCGTAAAAAAAGGTAAACAATAAGATTTTTATCAAACACCGTTATCGTATAGCTGAACGACGTTGAAATCAGTTTTTTATATGAGCCAACCATTTCCGATTTGCTGTGTATACTCGCACTCATAAACCGATTCGAAAAGTGCTATGCAAACATATGAATGGTAAACATATATCTATGCACATACAAGTACAATAAAAATTTAACTGCTGTTTATCTGTATTTCCAAATCGTTCGCATACAGTTACGCCGCGATGATTGCGCACTTTCTGCTCGCACTGTATGCTGATTTCTTTACCCCAGCAATTCTGTTACACTTATTTATTTTAATTGTTTTGCATCAACATATTTCGCTTTCATATAAATTATTTTAATTAGAACGCTGTGCACAAAACTAATTCAATTGAATTTCATTTAAATTGATAGCGTTTATGGCGCAAGCAGATATTTCTCTATGCACATATACATGCACACATATTTATGGTGCATACACGTGTACTTGTATGTATTTAACTGTATTCGTAAAGAATTTAACAAATATTGCCTTTGTTTAATATAATATTATAGTTGTTTTCAACGCTCTGATGCGATTTGCAAATAATAAGGTGAGAGAAAAGTTACATGCACATATATACATGTGCCCATAAACATATATACATACATATGTATACCCTATAAGAACAATGACAGTCATCTGACCGGTAATATGGCAGTCATAGCTGAAAAAAGTTTGTCAGCGCGCAGAACAAAGTTTCTATCATTTTCTTAAGAGCCTTTTGGAAAAACTGATGTAAACAAACGTATGTGTGTGAGTTTGCATCTCTTTTTAACACATGGGTATTCAGAATTGATTCACTATATATCTAGACTGCTCACTCTCATGTTTTTCTGAGTCATTGCTGACCATAAATCCATCGTAGCTGCAATTTGTCAGTTATGACCGTAAATTTATCACAAGTGAAAATTCTTCTGCGCAGTAGATAATACAATTTTTATTTCTTATATATATAATAATATACATAAATATAAAAAGAGTGTAACAAAAATATAATTAAATAAAAAATTATGAAAAGAAATTTTCACTTAATTCCATCTTGCGCCTCTCAAAAGCTCTGCTGCACGTGTGTCTCCAGTTCATGTATATTTCGAAATATTTAAAAATGCCTAAATAAAATTAAAAATTAACTATAAATATAATTTTATTTTAAACTTAATAATAACTTACGTATACTATATTTGAAAACTCCTTCGTTATTTATTTATTTTTAATAAAACAAAAAATTATTATTGCACAGGAGCACGCAACAACCAAAAGTTTTGTATCGCACGAAATAACAGCTACATATGTAAGTATTTCACAACTTCTCTAAACTTCTATGGAAATATATGCTGTTTCTTTTCAACGTATACAGAATTTTCTCTTGGAGAAATCGTAAACATTTACAGTCATTTTACTGTTCATTTGACTGTCAGTACTGGCATAATAAATTTGGTGAACTTATCAGCAGTTTCTTGTAGGGTATATAATATTTGTGTATGCATGCACATATGAAAATAACTAGTTATATGTGTGTGTATAAGAAAAGTTCCCCGCTTGCGCCATTCTCCGCCAGCGACTTTTGCTGTTCCCTTGCGTGTGTTTGTGCGCCTTCGCCTATAACTATACTACAGTATATTGATATTGGGATGATTTATTGCACGGTAAATTTGAATTTATTGAAAATTTTTAGTTTTGTAAGCTTGTTGAGAAATGTGTGCAAAATAAAAATCGATTAATATTATAAGCACATATTTAATATTCTGATATTCAAAATCTATGCAGGAATACAAAAAATATTGGTTGTCACCACTAAATACAAAAAGTTTTCTTTTTTGTCAATATTAATGTGGCCAGGCTCCCAGAGAAGTTTAGGCATGTAGAGTGGCTGTTTGACGACGCACATACTTAGGTCTTTAGAAGGCCGATTGTGATGGCGGACAAGTTTAATATGGAAGTGGCTGAGAAAAATACGCTGAGATATAGTAGATAAAATACTTCAAAAATTTCAGATGCTCGAATGCATGAGCGTATAGAGTTGCAAGCCGTACCAAATAATAATTTAAAAACTAGAAATACTGAAATATTGCTACTAAATATAATATGGACTATGGAAGTTTAAAAATATATTTCAAATTTTGATTACAGAAAGCGGTTACAGAACAAATTTTAGTTTTAGATGGAATAAGTTAATAATTGTAATCAAAATACTATATAACAAAAAAAAATTATTTTAAATTTAAAATTTTAAAATATTTATCTTGATATGGCTTTTTGATTATTTTCCCTAATTAATTATTTTTAATTTCGTTGGTTAAAAATTCTGTTCAAATATCGTATTGAACAATAAAACAATAGTTCCCGAGATGAAAAGTATTTTTTCGCAATTGATTTAAATAATAATATAATAAAGACTTTATTAACAAATTATTTACAGACTTAAATTAATTACATAACAATATCTATATTAACTAAGCGTCTTCGCATCTATATAAATATTATATACAGATAATATAATAACAAGCAACGATTGATTTATACTATCATTTCAACATTATTAATTTTACTTAACTATAAAATATTTCATTATTTAACGGACATTAGCTAACATTCAAAAAATAAATGTTTATGAGCTTAAAACTGTAAATTTACGTATGTATGTCAGTATACACATTTTTGGCACGAACAAAGGCACGAATCACGAATACGCGAACACACGAGCTGAGCCAAACCCTTTATAAGAGGGTTGAACTTGCTCTCAGATACATAATTGTCTACACATTATATTTAGTTGATTCACTAGCCACATCGGAGAGCTGCTAGGGCTGCGGATTACCGCTTTCACTTATTTACATACATATATACATAAAATCTTATATAAGATATTGTAAGCATTTATTTAAATGTTTATGAACTAATGTATAACTTTCATCGTGGCAGGAACGATTTAACAATGGCACACATATTATTATATTTTTTTTCTGAATATTTTCTATTCTAGCGTTGTCTTTTTCTTTTTTTGCAAGAGGTCTTCGATTATCCAAAATGCAATCGCTATAATATTAAGACCATTGAGAACGTGCAGAGTGAAACCATAATCGGTGGCGTCACGTATAAGACCTGAGTGTAAAAAGTAAGAGCGAGCAAGCGAGTTATATATATTTTATATAATATTATATTTAATGCATTTTCTTTAGGTTTTTTAAAAATCAGTTCAACTTACCAACAATTGGTCCAAAGACCAGCGAAAATATACCGGACATGAGCAATTGTAGACCCGCTGCGGCCGGTAAACGCTTCAATGGCACATAGCCGGGAATGATGAGAAGTGCAAAGATTGTGCGGAACGCCTTGAAAAGACCCAAGAAGCAAAAAGTCGCGATCAACCAATAGAAGTCACGGCAGTATATGAGAAAGACGCGCCCCAAACACATGCCCAAGATGCCGATAATGAAGAAATTCTTATTACTCAAAGGTATCTTGGCGGTCAGCAATGGGGTGAGAAATCGCAGTATGACATCGCAAACACCCAGACAAGACATGGCGAAGGCGATTTGTGTGTTAGTGAATTTGAAGTCGGAGAGAATAAAAGGCGTTAAGATGGCGAAATTGATTTCCACGAAGTTTATTATTGTCATGCCCATTGCCAAATTGACATATGTGAAATCGCGCAGCAGATCCAAATCGAAGAAAATGATGACCTTTTTTAGGAATGGTAGTTTTTGGAGCGCCTCTTCTTCTTCTTCCAGCATTTCCTCTAACGTTTTTTCGGGCGCTAAGTGATTTTCTTCCTTCTCGTCAAATTGTTGTGGTTGTTGCTTGTACTGCACGGCCACTTGTCCTTCATCTAGATGCTCCAGTTGAGTGGGCAACGCTAAATTCTCATGTAAATGTTCCAGCTCATCCTCCTTAATGCTCTCACTCGTCGAAAAAGAGCGCTGTTTGCCTTTGCCAGCGCCAACGCTACTTAAACGGCGGAGTTTATGCATTTGAACGCTGTCGCCAGTGCTGAGTCGATGTCGTTGGCTAAGCGTATTTATGGAAGTACGAGAACCGTACCAACCGTCATTGGCGCGCGCCAAACTGTGCGTGTCGGGTTCGACAAATTGTTCTGGCTCTTCCTCCTCAAAGTGCTGCGAAACCGGGCGTAAGGACTCAGCGTCGCCTCTTACTTTTTTCACATGCCATTGCACGGGTTGGAATATCAGTGAGGCGGCAAAGTTATGCAGCGAGAGACCAGAAAAGATTAGCACGGTGCCCTTTACGCCCACAGCTTGCACGAGAAAAGTAGCTAGATGTGGCAATATAATTGGACCCATGCCGGCTACACCGAACTGATAAGAGGTGGCAGTGCGACGTTTCACTTTGAAGAAAGTGTTAACAGCCATCGAAGACGCTGATACCATGAGACCACGACCGAAGCCTAGATGGCAGATATACTTATGTAAATATTGGTTTTTATGTTTTGGAATTGACAGTAAAAACTTACCATAGAAGAATGCAAAAGACATCATGTAGAAGAGGAATGATTGAGCAAATACTGACAAAAACATGCCGATGAAGATGAGCGTTGAACCGCCGAATGCGACTTGGCGATATGTATACCGTCGGAAGAGAGGTCCATTGAGAAGACCTATGAATAAGAAGTAGTTATTAATGTCGACAATCAAGGGGTCATAGGCATTCAGAATTTATGAGAAATTCAGTTCAACCCAAAACCTCTCCGAGACTAACTTCCCCTAGCCGCGGCATGTTGTCCGGTACGGTTTATTGTTTATTCACAGCTAACTCCTATATCTAAAGGCTTTTTACTATCCGCAATTTGTGACCCGTCCGGTTGCCTACAGCTCGGCACTCGACCGAGCGCAAACAAAAGGTGTGTTGTAAAAATAACAAAATGGATTCAATGTGCAACTATATGCTCCCTGTGTTTACTAACTTTAACTAGCCAATACTTTTGTCAAAACAAATCGGTCAACGCAACCGGCATAACCTGGCTTCTTGTTCCGCTTTATCTTTGTAATGTTTTTCGAAACCAATGGAGGATGTTATAACGACAAGAAATTGGGGGCTTTTCTATATAAGTACCTAAAGGCGAGGAAACTATGGAGCTGAAAGTAAATCGACTTGGTTTCTCACTTTGCGGCAAACCACACCAACTCGGTATATGAAATGATCCAATTCCCATGTTCTACCATGTACCATTGTGAATTCACATATCCCATTCTAGGCCCCATTTCTAAATATAAGCTTACTTTTTTTTCATTTTCACTAAATATTTTTTATTTCAGTTTTACTAGATATTTTTTGTTTTTTAAATTCTTCATAACAGCTTTTTTGTCAAGAGGCGCCAAATAAAAATACAATATATCGAGATTTAGTGGCGTGATTTTTGAAAAGTTAGTGAAGAAGCAAAAAGCTAGTAACACTCAAGCAAACAATAGATGAAGTTTTACATGATTCAAAAAACTCCCTACATTAGAAAAAAATGGAGAATAGATAGTAAACTGGTATTCGATTCAAAATTATTTATATGATTTCGACAAAACCTACCTGTTAGTGCGGAAACGGCAATCTGTGTGTTGATAATCGTCGTCAGCTGCGAACTGGTGATGCCAATACTGTACATATAATCTCGGAAAATAATACCGAACTGTTGGGCCAAGCCAAATGTCACTAACTGCAAAGAGCACGGTTAAGTCAAGTAAATGTTCATGCGAGAATATATTTCAGTTAGATCAAATACTTACCACAGCAATGCCGCTAGCGACGGTGACCAGCCAACCCCAACCCCCATCGGGCGCTACGAAATCATCGCCCAGATCACTTTTGTCACGACGCTTCTTCTTCAGTGTCTTTTGTTTTGTTGCATTGGCGTCGACAACTGGGGTATTATAGGTTTTATCAAACATGGACTTATCACCATTTAGTGGTAATAACAATTTAGTCAGATGCGGCGAAATGGATCGATCATGTATGTGACCATTGTGATTGTTATTATTTTCATTTATTGTCGTTTCTTGCGCCATCTTTGTTGCTGCTTGGCTTTTTTGTCGGATAATTATGTCGACTTGTCAGAGGTTTAGCATATAAATTGCACACTAAACCAAATTAAAACAAAACGGAAACGAAAATTATGTCTACTTTTTGTTAAGATTAACTTTATCATTATTGCTGTTTGAAGTGAGCACTTGTGACACACTTTATCTGGAAGAACCGTTTTATTCTGAATTTATTGTAAACATTTTTTCCATACATACATACATTTTCGTATTTTTATACTTTTGCAACATGTTGGTACAGAGTATATTAATTTTGTTCACCTAACGGTTGTTTGTATCACCTAATACTAACTGAGATGGATATAGAGTTATGTATATACTATAAAAGAGCAAGCTGTAACATGAGTAAAAATTGAGATATCGTACTGAAACTACATACATGTGTTCCTTGGTAAAAAAAGGGCGAGACCGTATATGGGCGTAATCGGACCACTGTCAGGCCCACAAAACTGAGATACAAAACTGAAAAAAATGGAACTAAATTTTTTTTGGCATTTATGGTACTAAAAAAAGAACAATATTTTTTATAACAATTTAACCAGTTAAAGGGAGTATTTGCAATATAATATATAATACTTAATTTATTATCTAAGCTATTTAATCAAATTATATCTATAGTCTCTTCGAATGAGGTCTGATAAAATTTAATTATCAACATGTGCCCTATTGCTCAACTAAGGGTCGCTATTTTTATTTTAGATTATCGTATAATTATCATGGGAAAATCATTTTTATTGTCAAGCTGAGCTTTACTCAACTCTAAGACAGAGTATGCAAATATTTACAAGAACTGTAACTAGCTACATAAAAATCGCCAAATTTTGATTTTTCTCTAACATAAATGTTTGAGAGGAAAAATATTTTAAACACTCTAATATATATGTATGTATGTACATAATATATTATAATATTAAAACTAGATGATTGATTGTATGTCTAAAAAAAGCTTTGACACAACACATATTAACGGTCTTGTCTACGGGATCTAAATCAGTAAAGTTAAGGAATTAATGTTATTAGAATAAAATAAGGATAACGAAAGCGGTCGAGTTTTACATCCCATCTGGAGTCTTTCAGTGATAAAAAAAAGCCGACCAACCAAATTTTATTTGACGAGCTTTTACCAGGTCATGGATATTTTAAGTGGTACAAGAAAAATTAAATGGCTTCACGGTTAGGACGAAAAATATCACATAAAAATACCTAACATCGAGAAAGTATAAAACATCACAATTCTTTGCAGAGCACATACGTGCAAAGAAAGATGGGCTTAAAAGCAGTTAAAACGATTAAAAATATGGAAAATATTAAATTTATATGTTTCATTTGTTAAGATGGTACTTTCAGTTTTTGGCTTAGAACATTAACTGAAATTTTCAAGAATTTAAATTTATACTCCTGTATTTCTTTCCACATCTCTATCTCACTTCATCCATTCTTTCTCTTTCTGTTTCTCTTCTACTCTTAACTTACTTCTTTTAATTAAAAATTTCTTTACATTTTTAACGTATTGGTGGAAAAAAACTTACGCGTGGAAAAAAACTTACGCGTGGAAAAATACTTAATGACATCTGAATTTCCCCGCTTTTCGGTCAACTTAAAGATTGGTGATATTATAAAACCTCTTATAATGGTAATTTAGGGTTTGTGTCTGTACTTCATTTATGGCATTTTTCAATTATTTCTTGTGTCCCTTGATACCATGCAGATATGCTAGGATACTAACCCCATAGGCATTTTTTATTGATTAACATGCAATTGGCAAGTGGTGATAATTTTTTGTTCAACAAGCAAGTCAGCATTGTCATTACATACATTACGTATACATCATATATGTATGTAGGTATAAAGGAATATTATGAATAACACCACAATTTAAGCTTAGTCACGCTTATAAACATATATTATAATATATATAAGTTCATATCCATATACATACATATATACTAGTATATATGAAGGGTTTGCAAAATAATTACGAAATGATGAAATTCCCATTTATCGTAAATAGTACGAGTAAGGGGAACTCAATGGGCTTAAGACCATTTCACTACCATCACCTACTTTCCGATATTAGTTATATACGCAGATACGAAGGTATACATATGTGTAGTACATTAGGTTATCTGTTATTTTCCAAGTTGATTTCTTTTCGCAAACGTTCCTTAAGTTTCAGCTTTTGCCCTGATGAAGGGTAAATTTTTTATTTTCAAAACAATAAATTTAATTAAAAAAATTTACTATTATATAATGCAAAATTTTCCGTTCTACTCAAAATCCTTGTGTTAAGGGCAACAAGTGAAGCTTCAGGGGCCAAACCAAAATCAACTTGGAAATTAACATACACCTTAATGTACATACAGAACATATATGTATACATCACATGGAAGTATTGTTATGCGAATATGTCCAATATATCAATGTCAAATTAAAATCCAGTCTTTTCAGAATGAAATTGTTATAAATTAGAATACCTTGCCCCTTTTGTCATTATGCGCAAAAACACAAAACATCGGTCAGCAGACATTTATGTAAGCAAATAAGGAGTATCATGAAGCGACAGTTTAGTTGTGTGATATGAAAAAAGCGTGACTTCATTTTAGAAAGATAACCGAAGGTACAATTCTATATACATATGTATATATTTATACAATAGACGGTGGCGAGGCCGAGTGATATCTATGCCGTATATTATATGCGAATGAAATTGTCATGAGTTATTACCATATACTGTTACAACCTATTGCTACAGATTATAATAGCTTTGTTCAACTAACGGTTGAAACTAAAACTAATCAAGAGAGATATAGAGTTATATTATATATTATAGGTTTAATGCACAAATCTCCTAAACCTTTTAAGATACAATAACCAATAAATTCGTTTAGGACAAATCCCCACCGAACTGTAAAAATTATTGAAATCGGATGATGACAAAGCCCATTCCTCATATAACGGTTCTGATAAAAAACTACTAAAAGCGCGATAAATCAATAAATAAATAGGCCATTTTTACACCCGAGATGGTACAAGAGAGCTTTATAGGAGCCGGGGTCAAAGAAAGGCGATGGCAGTGGCAGCGCCCACATTTAGGTGAAAACCCATATCTCAGGACTTACCAGACCGTTGTCGACCAAATTTGATATGTAATATTATCTTAACCTTCCAGTGCGAAAATGGGCGAAATTGGACTACAACCACGCCTACTTACCATAACACAATTTTAAATTCCATCTGATTCTTTCACTTTCTTAAAATAGGACACTATATGACCAAAAACTGGCAAAATGGGACTACAGTTGTTTAAACCACCAGATACCGAATATGCGGACCCCAGTTCCTAAAGCAAACATTTTATCGAAAATATCGGTCAATCTGTTAGATATGTAATTTAAATTCGGAGCAAATTCTTTTGATCATCTGATAACATTAAGCCAGTATGTTAAAAATGGGTTGAATCGGATGAAGGCTTCTCTTCGCCGTCATATACCTAATACAAAGATTTTCGAACTTCCGGATTATTTTATACCGCATATATCGGTAATATCACGGTTATCGAACATCCGGCTGACTTTACTCCAGTTATAAAAAATTGATAAAAACCGGTCAATACATCCTTTAGATCCCATGTATCTGCAATTTCCAAACTTCCGGTTGGCCTTATACCGACTTCCATATACTATATATAATGATTTTCGTTTTTCTAACACGCCTTGTGACGAATATGTCGTTCAATATGAGTTTTATATTTTTAAAATTGCTTGAAAATTAGTTCTCAAATATACCTGGGCAATGTCTAAATTAATGCAATCAGCCCGTCCTTTTCACTCTGCCCAGTCAATATAGCATATATAGTAATTTCCTTTAAACTGTACAGGTTGGTCAAAATGTGTAATATTTTAATGAAATTAAATGGAAAAGTTTCCTTGAAAATAATGTGGTTTACCACTGAATATACATAAATGGAATTGGTCTAGACGCGATCCTCTTGGACGTTTGATACATTAACTCATGATACCACAAAGTGACGTGGTAAGTGCCATTCAGGCTCTATGCATTTATTAACGGTTTGGTAGATTTTATACAGTTTTTCATGAATTTCTGGGATGGAAAACGATTTCATAAAATCAATTATCTGTTCTCAGGTAATATCGGGGTTTCATTCAAAATTTCACCAAAATTTCTTTTCTAAAACCCGCAAATTAGTTGAACCACTCTCGTATTCAGCGATTATGTGTTTAATTATAGATATTTTAGTAATAATTGCAAACAAAGAAATTATGGCACTTTCAAGACCGATTTAGTTCGATTGAATATACGCGTGTTACCATGACTAACAACTTGTTAATCGGTTCTATAAATAATTCTGTATCCCCCAGGGTCATAAGACTGCTTCCAATTTGTTATTAAGTCGGCTAAAAACTATATATAGATATACTTCTAGTATATACTTGTCTATACATTTGTAATCTATATACGTTTATATTTGGTTATATCACGTAATTGCTGGAAAAATTTCGAGTTGGCGCTGCTAATTATGTTACCAGCACCGGAGTTGTCTGATAAAATATCACGACTTAATTTGTTTTATGAATAATGATTGCTGATTATTTGTGCACATATTAACTGTACAAATATTTTATTGTGCGTATTGGATTTTTAAGGTGTACAAATTTATTTTACATATTAACAAATATTTTTTCTGAACAAATTTCGTTGACATTTTGGAGGTTCCGCTAATTTGTTTACATATCTAGATGCTTATCTGTATGTAATTACTACTGTTGTTCATTGTGTTGCTGAAACCAGAAATATAACTCAAAGTTTTTATACATATACGTAAAACGACGACAAATCATATGTGTACAGTGTGTCAGTTCATATTAAAATTGAAAGAATTTTTTTACGCATTCGGCACTAAATTACTTAGAATAAAGGATACGTCCATAAATAATATATATATTCAGGAAATGTTATGCAACTAAATACTATTCAGATCTGAAGCTTAAACTTGGGTTCAATTGGAGATATCAATATCC